GGGAGCGTGGCCACTGCACTCCAGTCTGGGTGACAGAGTGAGACTCCAACTCAAAAAAAAAAAAAGAATTATATGTCACATCGGCATGGAAAGACAGTCATGAAGAAAGAACTTTGTTTTAGAAGCAAGAGGAAGGGGACGGGTGTAGTGGCTCATGCCTGTAATCCCAGCACTTTAGGAGGCGAAAGCTGGAGGATCACTTGAGCCCAGGAGTTTGAGATGAACCTGGGCAACAGAGCAAGACTTTGTCTCTACAAAAAAAAATAAAAAAATTAGCCAGGCATGGTGGCAGGTGCCTGTAGTCCCAGCCACCCAGGAGGCTGAGGTGGAAGGATCGCCTGAGCCCAGATCGCACTGCTGCATTATCAACCTGGAGGCACTGGGGTTGGTGAGGAGGCCGAGGGAGGGAGCGAGGGGGAACAGGCCGGCAAGAGCCTTTATTGTTGTTTCCGTGGGAAGGAACAGGTGAGGCAGGTTAGGGTTAGGGTTGGTTTGTCTGAATAATTTCAGCAACTCTGGGTCATACAGGCTTTCCTTAGTTGGCCGGTACTTGACCTTGAGGTGGCTTTGGGATGAATGACCCAGGATGAGAGCTCTCAGAAAAGGAGGCCCTGGTGGACTCTGGATAGGGTAATATGCATTCAAAAAGCACCTCCTGGGTGGGGAGTTCACTATCCCTGGGAGTTGTTTAACCCTTGGGGGGCAGTCCCTTCAGGATGAGCAAGGCTTCAAAATGTCAAAGCAGGCCAGGCTCGGTGTCTCCGCCTGTAATCCCACACTTTGGGAGGCTGAGGTGAGCGGATTGCCTGAGCCCGCGGGTTCGAGACCCGCCCAGTCAACTTGGCGAGACCTCATCTCTACAATAAATCAAAAAATTAGCCGGGCGTGGAAGCACACGCCTATTGTTCCGGCTACTTGGAAGGCTGAGGCGGAAGGATCGCCGGCACCCAGCGCGTTGAGGTTACGGTGGCTGGGAGTGTGCCACTGCCCTCCAGCCTGGGCGACGGAGTGAGACTCCAACTCCAAAAAAAAAAAAAAAAAAAAAAAAAAAAAGTCAAAGCATCAGAGTACAGAAAATCCCAGCCTGCACAACATAGTGAAATCTCTTCTCTACAGAATATTTTTAAAAAATTAGCTGGGCGTGGTGTAGTCCCAATTACTTGGGAGGCTGAGGTGGAAGGATCACCTGAGGCCAGGAGGTCCAGGCTGCAGTGAGCCGTGATGGTACCACTGCCCTCCAGCCTGGGTGACAGGGTGAGAAAAAAGAAAAAAAGACCCGATTCTCAGAGCATTCACTCTCTACTCAGGGAGACTGCAGTAAATAAAAATAAAAAAAAATAGACAAGAAAATGTAGTGACAAGAAAGAGAACATGATCAAGCGATTAAGAAAAGGGTCTGAGCCGGGCTCGGTGGCTCAGCCTGTAATCCCGCGCCTTTGGGAGGCTGAGGTGAGTGGATTGCCTGAGCCCGCGGGTTTGAGACCCGGCTGGGCAGCAAGACCTCATCTCTACAATAAATTTAAAAATTAGCCGGGCGTGGTAGCATGCGCCTGTGGGTCCAGCTACGTGGAAGGTTGAGGTGGAAGGATCGCCGGAGCCCAGCAGGTCGAGGCTGCGGTGGCCGGGAGCGGCCACTGCACTCCCGTCTGGGCGACAGAGTGAGACTCCAACTCAAAAAAAAAAAAAAAAAAGAAAAAAGAAAAGGGTCTGGAGGGTTATTCCAGAAGTGATCGGGCAGTCTTCTCTGAGGAGCTGACATTTGAGCAAGAGGTGAGTGAGGAGAGGAGCCAGCCGCCCAGAGACGTGGGAGAGGAGAATTCCACGCAGAAAGAGCCAGTGAGCAACGGAGCAGGCCAGGAGGAGAGTGAAGTCAGAGACAGGCAGGGGCCATGGTGACGAATCTCAATTTTCTCCTTCATGTACGGGAAGCTGCCAGGAGTGCTTTTTAAGCAGGGAAGTGATTTAGTATGATGTTTTTAAAGCTCCCTCTGGCTGTTGTCTAGAGATCAGATGATAGGAAGAGCACATAAAGAATGAGGGAGACAACGCAGGGAGTGGAGGCTCATGCCTGTAATCCCAGCACTGTGCCCAGCTCATTTTTCTTTTGTAGAAACAGGATCTCGCTTTTTTGCCCCGGCTGGTCTCGGACTTCTGGCCTTAAGCGATCCTCCCACCTTGGCCTCCCAAAGTGCTGGGCTTACAGATGTTATTCTAGTCCTTTTGGGGCCTTGATTTCCTCCATAAATTGGTATCTGTTAGGGTCCAGGTAGGGTGAGGGTGTATGGATGGAGAGGGAGAGGCACAGGGAGGTGCAGCACCGCCGGAGCCTGCAAGCCGGAGGTGCGCGCTAGCAACCCAGAGATCCGAGTAAATTGCAAAAAATTGCAACACACAGAAGTGAGAGAAGAAAAGACTTATTTAAGGAAAGTTCCCCCCAAACAGACAGGGAGCGGGCCTACACTCTAGGTGAGTGGCAGCATAGCCCCCCAAAGCCCTGACTTAAATTCTTTTCCTTGGAGATGTTGCAATCAGGTAGACGTGACTGCAGTGACTTCCTTATTGACCACCTGTGGATGTCTTGGAGAACCTGTGACACAGAGACCCACTAATGTCTGCCCACATTATCATAGCCCCTAGAGAAGGGCGTGACAAGGATTCTAATTCTTCTGCACCTTCCTAATGGAGGGTGCTAATGGAGGGTGCACCTCCCCTTATCTCCTAGGCATTCCCAGTGGGTAGCTTTGGGGGATCCTTGGCTTCCCTGCAGATGGTGCCCAATTTACTGGAAGATCGAATCCCCACCTGCTCCCCCTCTGAGCGGTCATAACTTTCGTAATTACAAGTTTCATGACTTTTACAGTCCTTGCCCAATGCATAATGTCTTAGGCCTTGTAAATTCCCTTTACTCTAGGCAAGCTTGATTGCCGCGATGAGATACCTCTGATACCTGGCACCAGGAAGTCTGTTTCTGAAAAGACAAAGTCGGTAGAGTTAATTTTGCCTAAAGTGTCCATTTCTCCAAAAGCATAGCTTCTACTTTCTCATCATTGTATTAAGGTTTAGGAACAAGATGAAAAATGACTTTCGGCTCTCAGTCTGTCCTTTCCGTATCCACAGTGCCAACCTTGTGACAAGCTCTGTGAATGTGAGTGCTGTGAGAATGGACGGAGTTAAGGCTATGTCTGTTCCTCCAGGGATGAAACTATAATGTCAGGACTATACACCCGTGGCAGGCCTGGCTCTCTAGCTGTCTGGACTTTGCGGGCTCAAAGGACACCATCGCCCTCTAATGGCCATAGCTGGACTCAGCTGATGAATCCTGGCACTTTATTGGCTTGAGTGATTTCCTCCATGCAAGGGGTCAGGGTCCAGCCTGCCCACTCACCCATGACCTAGGAGGCACTAGCCTTTATGTCATCAAATGCCTGGCAGAGTTGGCTTTTTTTTTTTTTTTTTAGTTGGAGTCTCACTGTCGCCCAGACTGGAGTGTAGTGGCCGCTCCCGGCCACCGCAGCCTCGACCTGCTGGGCTCCGGCGATCCTTCCACCTCAGCCTTCCAAGTAGCCGGAATTACAGGCGCGCGCTACCACACCCGGCTAATTTTTTGATTTATTGTAGAGATGAGGTATCGCCTGCCCAGATGGGTCTCGAACCCGCGGGCTCAGGCAATCCACTCACCTCAGCCTCCCAAAGGCGCGGGATTACAGGCTGAGCCACTGAGCCCGGTTTGGCTATTTTTTTTTAAAGAAACAAAAGTTTATTTAAAAGTAAATTAGAGAGAGAAGAGAAAGAAGAGAGAAGATTCACCTCCCCAAGGTGGGGGAGGGGGACCAAAGCCAGGAAGCATGGCCACACCAGACTCTAGCAAGGCAACGGCCTGGCTTTTTTTTTTTTTTTTAACCTATGTGCTCAATTCAATGGATGAGTTTGGCTTTCTTGACAAACTTAGTTGTGTGCCCTACTTTTGTGAAAGAAATGCTGTCCTTTTGGAGATTTTTTTTTTTTGAGTTGGGGTCTCACTCTGTCATCCAGACTGGGGTGCAGTGTTCACTTCTGGCCACTGTAGCCTCGACCTGCTGGGCTCCGGCGATCTTTCCGCCTCAGCCTTCCAAGTAGCTGGAACTACAGGTGCGTGCTACCATGCGCAGCTAATTTTTTATTTACCGTAGCGATGAGGTCTCACCAAGTTGCCCAGGTGGGTCTCAAACCCGCGGGCTCAGGCAATCCACTCACCTCAGCCTCCCAAAGCGCTGGGATTACAGGCTGAGCCACTGAGCCCGGTTTGGAGATTTTTTTTTTTTTTTTTTTACCTTGGCCTTCCAAAGTGCTGGGATTATAGGCATGAGACATTGTGCCCGGCCTCTTATTTTTTTAAACTGGAGGCAGAGGGATCTTGCTATGTTACCTAGGCTGATCTCGAACTCCTGGCCTCAAGCAATCCTCCCGCTCGGTTTGATCTGTTCATTGAAGACCTCTTTCGAGTGAGCCGATTTACTCTAACATTTGTTTTAAAAAGATAAACCGCGTGTGGTGGCTCAGCCTGTAATCCCCCTTTGGGAGGCTTAGGTGAGAGGAGTGCCTGAGCCCAGGAGATCGAGACCAGCCTGGGCAATTTGGCAAGACCTCGTCTCTACAATAAATCATAAAAAAATTAGTCGGGCGTGGTGGTGAGTGCCTGTAATTCCAGCAACTGGGAAGGCTGAGGCGGAAGAATGACCTGAGCACAGCAGGTCGAGACTGCGGGGGCCGTGAGCATGCCACTGCACTCCAGCCTGGGTGACAGACTGAGCCTCCGACTCGAAAACAAACAAACAAAGAAAGAACAGAACAGAATAAAGTGAGTAGTCGTTGGAGCGCTGTTTGGGGGGGTATAGGTGATGGTGTTGAACATCATCGTTCATACAAAATATCAGATTTCAGCGGCTTAGAGCTAGACAGAAATTCAGAGGTCCATTTATCAATTATCTCTAACCCTGGTAAACAATAAGTGAGATGATATGTAAAAGACAGTTTTGGCAGTAAAACCACACGCCATGCAATGTGAGCGAGTTAGTATTCCGCAGGGGCAGCCTTGCCAATAGTAAACATGGCAGCTCGGTGCCTTCCTTCCCTTCAGGTTGACCTCATGGTTGCCAATAGTCAACATGGCCATCACACCGTGTGTTCTCATTGGCGGCTTCTCGGCCCCGCCCCGCCCCTTCGAACGCGGCCGGGAGTTGCAGAGCCGGATATGGTGGCTGCCGGCCGAGCTGCGCCTGCGCAGGTCATTGGCGCCAAGATGGCGCTGGAGATGAGGCTTCCGGTGGCTCGCAAGCCTCTTAGCGAGAGCCTGGGCCGCGAGGCTAAGAAACACCTAGTGGTGCCGGGAGACACGATCACTACGGACACGGGCTTCATGCGGTACGTGGGGACTTAGGGGAGCCAGGGCCGCCAGGAGCGGCTGCAGGGCTCTCTGCACGCGGCCCGGGCCTCGTGTCCCGTGCGTCTAATTCTGTGGGTCCCAGGACACAAGGCCCGAGCGTCCCAGTTGCTGCCTCGTTTTCAACCCTCATGCTCGGAAGTGACTTTCTCCTTGCATCGTGTGTGTCCCCGTCTGCGTTTGATGCAGGCCCTTAAACTCTCCTTTCCTGACCGCTTGGCTGTGACTTTTGGGTCCTCTGCCTGAAGCCCAAATCTTCTGAGCCTTACTTGTTTGAAATCTGGAAAACCGACGGTGGTTAGGATCAGGGGTTCTTAGTTTTCAGCTGAGGGGACAGTGGGTGTTCCTGGCTTGGCCTCCTTCTCAGTTTCGGAATCGGTAACTATTTGGGCTTAGGGCCCACAGATATATTGTGCTACATGCACCTAATTATACAAATTTTAAATCTGACGGTGGGGGCCTGCTCTTGAGTTAGATAGTCAGAATTTCAGTCCTGCTACCATCACGTCTTATTAGCTGTATTGTCTCTCCAAGGTCAGTTTCCTCATCTGTCAGATAGTGATAACAATAACTGTATGATAGGGGAGTGAGATTAAATGAGATGATAATGTAAGTAAAGAAGCAAAACCCGCTGTTTTATCACCATCATAGATAAACACTAGTGGTATAGCATTTATAGCATTGCCCTTAGCCTGTTAAAGTTATTGGATCCTAGGAAATCTTATATTCATTCCTTCCTTAATGCACTCAACATATATTTATATTCTGTGTGGTTGGAGTATTTATAGTGAACAAAGTGAAAATCTCTGAACTGGTGGAGTTCTAGAAGGGAGAGACAGATAAACAATGAGCAAATGAATAACTAATTCAGAATGTTAGGCAATAAATGCAGTGGAAGAAATAGTGGAATAGGGTAAATGGAATATGGTGGAAATATGGTGGGTGTAGTGGCAGCTGGTGGGATACTGTTTTTTTGTTTCATTTTTTTTAGTTGGAGTCACGCTGTTGCCCAGGCTGGAGTGCAGTGGCACAATCACAGTTCACGGCAGCCTAGACCTCCTGGGCTCAGGTGATCCTTCTGCCTCAGTCTCTGGAGGAGCTGGGACTATAGGTGTATGCCACATGCCCAGCTATTTTCTTTCTTCCTTTTTTTTTTTTTTTGTAGACATGTGGTCTTGCTGTGTTGCCCAGGCTTGTCTCGGAACATCTGAGCCCGAGTGATCCTCCCTTCTCTGCCTCCCAAAGTGCTGGGATTACAGGCATGAGCCACTGCATCTGGCTAGTGTTATACTGTTTTACATGGGATAGTAGGCATGCTAGAGAAAGTGACATCTGAGCAGACTTGAGTAAGATGAGAGAGATATCCAGTAAGATGAGAGAGAGCAGCCAGCACAGAAGCCAGGTTTGATGGGAAAAATCTGGTAGGTTTGAGGAACACATTGTTTTTTGTTTTTTTAATCTGAGTCTGAGTCTCACTCTGTTGCCCATGCTAGAATGCAGTGGCATGCTCACAGCCACCGCAGCCTCAACCTGCTGAACTCAAGCGATCCTTCCACCCCAGTCTTCCAAGTAGCTGGAACCACAGACATGCACCACCATGCCTGGCTAATTTTTTGATTTATTGTAGAGATGAAGTTTCACCGCGTTGCTTAGGCTGGTCTTGAACCCCTGAGCTCAGGCAATCCTCTCACCTCCACTTCCCCAAAGTGCTGGGATTATAGGCATGAGCTACCACACCCAGGTTTTTGTTTTTTTTTTTCTTTTTGAGTCAGAGTCTTACTTTCACCCAGGCTGGAGTGCTGTGGCATGATCACAGCCACCACAGCCTCAACCTGCTGGGCTCAGGCAATTCTTCCACCTCAGCCTTCCAAGTAGCTGGAACTACAGATGCGCACCACCACTCCTGGCTAATTTTTTGATTCATTGTAGAGATGAGTTCTCACCAGGTTTCCTAGACTGGTCTCGAACCTCTGGGCTCAGGCAGTTCTCTTGCCTCCACTTCCCAAAGTGTGGGGACTACAGACATGAGCCACTACACCTGGCAAGGAACACAATGTTCTTGACTGGAGAAGTAACATCCTTTCTTTGTATCTTCTTCTTTCAACAGGGGCCATGGAACGTATATGGGAGAAGAGAAGCTCATTGCATCTGTGGCCGGCTCTGTGGAGAGAGTCAACAAGTTGATTTGTGTGAAAGCTTTGAAAACCAGGTAAGAACAAAAGATGTGTATTCTTTCTTGCCCTTGCCTATTGTACATCCAGGTCTTTCTGCCTCCAATTACCCCCTCCCAACTGCAGCCTGCCCTATCATGGTGCAGGTCTGCCATTTTTGAACATGGCTGTAGGAAGAGTAGTACAGATCAGTGCAGGTTTCAAAGGTTTCCCGTGTTACCAGCCCTCTCCAAGCCTTGGTTACCTCTGCAGAGTGAGGATATTTATTTATTTTTGAGTTAGAGTCTCACTCTGTCACCTAGGCTGGGGTGCAGTGGCACCATCAGGGCTTACTGCATCCTTGATCTCCTGGGCTCAGGCGATTCTTACGCCTCAACCTCCTGAATAGCTGGGACTATAGGCACACAACACTACGCTCAGCTAATGTTTTAAAATTTTTTTTATAGAGGTGAGGTCTGGCTATGTTGCCTAGGCTGGTCTTGAACTCCTGGGCTCAAGCAATCCTCTCACCTCTGCTTCCCAAAGTGCTTGGATTATAGGTGTGAGCCACCACGCCTGGCCAGAATGAGGATAACAGTGCCACCCACCTCATTGGATTTTTATTAGAATCCATGAGATGGTGCACAGGGCCCAATACCTAGAAGCCTTTAATAAAGGTTAGTCCTGGAAGGGAAGCCAGTGAGGTTAGGACAGAGTAAGTGTAGGAGAGAGAAGGAACAAATACAGGCAGAGAGCTTACCTTATAGTAAAATAAGCATTTTGCTTTCCACTTGTGTAATCTGGGAAGCTGCTGGAAGGGGCAGAGCCGTGGAGGGACACGATCTGACTTACATTGTAATAAAATCACTCTGGCTGCTCTAGGGAGATTGAAGGGGGACAAGATAGGCTTAGGAAGATGAATCAGGGACTACACTCAGCATGTGCAGTGATGGTGACTTGGACTAAGGTGGCAGCAGTGTAAGTGACAGGAGTGACTGGATTCTGTGTAAATTTTGTCTTCTGAGTGCTTTTGTTGTATCTTGAAAGGGTGTTGGATTTTGGATTTTTTGGACTCCTATATAGGACCCAGTCATCTGTGAATAGAGATAGTTTTGCTTCTTTTTTTTCCAATGTGGATGCCTTTTAGTTCCTGCATACAGTATATTTTAAGGGTGGAGTCTGTGCCACCGCACTCCAGCTGGGGCACAGAGTGAGACTCCGACTCAAAAAAGAAAAGGGTAAAGCCAGCAAGATATGCTGCTGAACTTGTCCTGGAGCATGAGAGAGAGAGAAAGAAAAGAGAGGAGAAGCTGGGCTCGGTGGCTCAGCCTGTAATCCTGCGCCTTGGGAGGCTGAGGTGAGTGGATTGCCTGAACCCACGGGTTCGAGACCCGCCTGGGCAACTTGGTGAGACCTCATCTCTACAATAAATCCAAAAAATTAGCCGGGTGTGGTAGCATGCGCCTGTAGTTCCAGCTACTTGGAAGGCTGAGGCGGAAGGATTGCTGGAGCCCAGCAGGTCGAGGCTGCGGTGGCCGGAGCGGCGACTGCACTCCAGTCTGGGTGACAGAGTGAGATGCCAACTCAAAAAAAAAAAAAAAAAAAAGAAAGAAAAAAGAGAGGAGAGAGGGAAATGGGGAGAGAGTGAGCAGGGGGTGGGGGAGATAAAGAGGAGGAGAAAGGAAGAGGGAGAGAGACAGAAACAGAAGAGTCATCAGTGGTGTTTTGAAGCCATTAGATTGCGTGAGCTTGTCAGTGGGAGAGTGTGGGTGAAAGTGGAGAGGTCTAGGAACCAAGCCTTAGCATCCGACACTCGTCATTAGAATTGGGGATGGGGTAAATGGATTACCTGAGCCCACGGGTTCAAGACCAGCCTGGGCAATTTGGTGAGACCTCATCTCTACAATAAATCAAAAAATTAACCGGGCATAGTGGCTTGTGCCTGTAGTTCCAGTTACTTGGAAGGCTGAGGTGGAAGATCTCTGAGTCTAGCAGGTGTAGGCTGTGGTGACTGTAAGTGTGCCACTGCACTCCAGCCTGGGCAACAGAGTGAGACTCTGACTCAAAAAAAAAAAATTCTTTTTACTGGTGGATGACATTTTGTTTTCTCTTTCAGATATAATGGTGAAGTAGGAGACATTGTAGTGGGGAGAATCACAGAGGTAAAGTTGATTCAGATTCATTTTATGTATTTTTTCTTAGAGATAAGTTCTTGCTTTGCCACCCAGGTTGGAGTGCAGTGGCGCGATCATAGCTTACTGAGCCTCCAACTCCTGACCTCAAGTGATCCTCCTCCCTTGGCCTTCTAAAGTTCTGGGGTCATAGGTGTGAGCCACCATGCCCAGCTTCAAATGGCATAGCCATTCTATATGCAGTTACATGAAAAAGGCATTCATTGTACTTGGCTCTTGTGTAGCCTCTGATGTAAATATCTGGCTTGTTGCATTTGGGATTGCCAGTCACTTACGACTGAGCTCTTGCCCCTGGCGCATATGTCCAAGAGTGAAACTCCTCGGTTTGCAGGTTCAACAGAAGAGGTGGAAGGTGGAGACCAACTCCAGGCTGGATTCAGTTCTGCTTCTCTCGTCTATGAACCTTCCTGGGGGAGAGCTGGTAAGAGCTGGGCCCTGGACTGGTGTCAGTTGGCCAGCAGGAGCTGTGGGGCCTTTGCTCCACCTGAGAACCTTGGTTTACGCTGAAGTCGCCCCTCTTATTCCTGTGTGTGTGTGTGTGTGTGTGTACACTCACTCACTCACTCTTCACCTGGCCTAGGTCTCCCCAGATAGGCAGCAATTGGCATATAATGAGATCAGAAACATCCATGGGATGAGACCCCAAAGGAGAGTTGGGGAGAGAAGCTCTTTAGATGCTTGGTGCTAACATTTTTTTTTGCTATTTTTTACTTTCATTTTTTTAGAGAAGTCCTGCTATGTTGCCCAGGCTGGTCTCACATGGGCTCAAGTAGTCTTCCTGCCTTGGCTTCCCAAAGTGCTGGGATTACAGGCATGAGCCACTGCACCTGGCCACTAATAATTTTCCTTTTCTGGGATGTATCACCTGTGCATAGGGAAGATGTTCCTTGAAAGGTTGTCTTTACATTGGTTTTTTGTGAATTGAAAGGCATTTGGTTATTCCCAGCAACCGCAGTAACTAAGCTACTGCCTTTTGTAAGATACCACGGTTCACCTTTATCTTCAGTCCAGCGTGTATTTACTGAGGGGCTCACTGTGGGTTCTGTGGAGGACGCCAGGACGATTGAGTTCCCTGGTGGGGGAAAGAAGAATACCGATCCAATACCTGGCAGTAGAAGAATAAACAAGTTGCGTTTGTACAGGAGTGGCTAATTGCAGTGATAGCAGCTCATAGGAAAGCCTGGCATTGGAGTACATGTTGGAAGGGTGAAGAGGATGTAAATGACAAGTTCTGGGAATCTGAGATAAGGGAAATGTGTGTGCAGAGATAGAGCCAAGCGGGAGGCAGTGGGCCCTGTATTGGGACACAGCTGTCATGGAAGGTGAGTGGAAGGCAGCTGGGTGACGTTGGGGAGGGAGGAAGGAGAAGAACTGTGGAAAGGTCCCTGCAGGTGGAGAGTCCTCATGAACGCTTGTTCCCCTGCAGCAGCTTGGGCCACCTACTCTTGCAATCGTTCTTAGTGCTTGGATATTGTGACTGGCTTCAAACATCTCAGAAGGAAGTGAATGAATGAAGTGAAAGAGAGAGATCACTCTGAGGACCTGGCTTAAATGATATGGTCATTTCTCTCTGTTTCAGAGGAGAAGATCTGCGGAAGATGAGCTTGCAATGAGAGGCTTCTTGCAGGAAGGGGACCTCATCAGTGTATCCTGAGCTTTGCATTCTGGCTGCCTGGTGCTTCCTGTGGGGCTGGGAAGCAGGCCTCCCATGGTGTGGCCCTCACAGGAGAAATGTAATCCTTTCAGGGATCTGGGCCTTTGATCAGGTGTCCAGGGCTCTGCTGCAGCCCTTCCCTGTCTCCTTAACTCAGGCTGACTCCCCCGTCATTGTTCAGGCCCTCAGCTGAGTCTTGTGCTTTAGGCTAGACTCAAGTTTTCTTTTCTTTTCTTTTCTTTTTTTTTTTTTTGAGTTGGAGTCTCACTCTGTCACCCAGACTGGAGTGCAGTGGCCACTCCTGGCCACTGCAACCTCGACCTGCTGGGCTCCAGCGATCCTTCCGCCTCAGCCTTCCAAGTAGCTGGAACTACAGGTGCGCGCTACTATACCCGGCTAATTTTTTTTTGATTTGTTGTAGAGATGAGGTCTCACTAAGTTGCCCAGGCAGGTCTCAAACCCGCGGGCTCAGGCAATCCACTCACCTCAGCCTCCCAAAGACGCGGGATTACAGGCTGAGCCACCGAGCCCGGCTGGATTACAGGTTTGAGCCACCGCATCCAGCCTCAAGTAGAAAGGTGTTGTTCGTATGCAGATATTCATGACAACCAAGGGTAGAGGAGGTCACTGATGTCTTCTGGGTTCCTCTAAGATGGTTGAGCTGGACTGTTGGAGACGGGAGGAAACACGGACACGTGGGACCAGGGAGGTGGGGGACACAGTGGACGTGAACGTGGGTGGCCGATGCTGCTGTTTTTTCCTTCATCACCCTGGCCAGGCTGAGGTCCAGGCAGTGTTCTCTGATGGAGCTGTCTCTCTGCACACAAGGAGCTTGAAATACGGGAAAGTAAGTCGGGCTCTTGATGTTCCCGTTTGCTGAGCAGGACTCCAAGTCCATTTCTTTCTTTTTGTGGGGTCAGGGTCTTGCTCTGTCACCCAGGCTGGAGTGCAGTGGCATGATCACAGCTCACTAGCCGCCACCTACTGTGCTCAGTCGATTCTCCTGCCTTGGCCTCCCAGGTAGTTGGGACTACAGGCATGCATCACTACACTGGGCTGATTTTTTATTTTTTTTATTCTTTCATTTTTATTTTTATTTTTTGAGTTGGAGTCTCACTCTGTCACCCAGACTGGAGTGCTGGCCGCTCCTGGCCACCGCAGCCTCGACCTGCTGGGATCCAGTGATCCTTCCACCTCAGCCTTCCAAGTAGCCAGAATTACAGGCATGCGCTACCACGCCCGGCTGATTTTTTTTTGATTTATTGTAGAGATGAGGTCTCGCTGCCCAGGCGGGTCTCGAACCCGCGGGCTCAGGCAATCCACTCACCTCAGCCTCCCAAAGGCGCGGGATTATAGGCTGAGCCACCGAGCCCAGCTTTTTTTTATTTTTTAACAAGGTCTTGCTATGTTGCCTAGGATGGTCTCGAACTCCTGGGCTCAAGCAGCCCTCCCGCCTTGGCTTCCTAAAGTGCTGAAATTACAGGGACGAACCACCATGCCTGGCTCAAGTCCATTTCTAAATTGCTTTAGCTCTCTGGAATTCCAACCTAAGAACCCCAATAGTAAGCACGAAGAAAGGCTGGTGTCCCACAAACTGATCATGTTCCCTGAACTTAACAGAAGTAGAGTTGGGACTCACAGAGTCATGGGTCGGTAGTGTTGTACAGGACATTTCTCCCCCACTCCCCAACCCCACACCAGACTGTTTTGGCAGGAGAGCCCTTCAGACTGTGGGCTGTGAGGCTCTGCTGTCTCTGTTCCCTCCAGGAGGTACTGCAGCTCAGCACTGGGGCCAGGACTGTGAGAGGCCATCCTTGGAACAAAGGGAGGCCGCATCCTGATGAAACAGCCCTTAGAAAAATGTCTGATCAATCAAATGGATGGGTTTCTTTTTGAGTCAGAGTCTCATTCTGTCGCCCAGGCTGGAGTGCAGTGGTACACTCAACGGCCACCACAGCCTCAACCTGCTGGGATCAGGCAATCCTTCCCTTGCAGTCTTCCAAGTAGCTGAAACTACAGCTGTGTGCCATCATGGCCAGCTAATTTTTTTTGAATTATTGTAGAAACGAAGTCTCACCATGTTGCTCAGGCTGGTCTCAAATCCATGGCCTCAGGCAGTCCTCTCTCCTCTGCCTCCCAAAGTGCTGGAATTACAGGCATGAACCACTACGTCCAGCCTCAAGTGGATGTTATTGCTAGCAAAGATTACTTTGTCACCTAAGCCTCTAAATGACATTTCTCTGCTTTGCTTGTAGGCACTTAGATTCTTGAGGCTATTTATTTATTTATTTTGAGTTGGAGTCTTACTTCGTTGCCCAGGCTGAAGTGCAGTGGCATGCTCACGGCCACCCGAGCATTGACTTGCTAGACTCTGGTGATCCTTCCACTTCAACCTTTCAAGTAGCCGGAAGTACAGGTGCATGCTACTATGTCCAGCTAATTTTTTTTTTATTCATTGTAGAGACAGGATCTCACCAGGTTGTCCAGGCTGGTCTCGAACCCGTGGGCTCAGGCAATCCTCTTACCTCAGCCTTCCAAAGTGCTCGGATTACAGACCTGAGCCACCGTGCCTGGCTGAGGCTATTTATTTTTTTAAGGACAGCATACTGAAACAAATTAGTATTTACTCGTCTCTTGCCTTTACCTGGGCAAACCTTTCCATTTTCTGAGTGGAACAAAAACCTCTTCCCTTAATGGAGTGGCTGCAGCCAACCACATGGACGTACTTGAAGTAGGGAGATGAACCTTGCACTGTGTGCGCTGACCCTCACAGGCCTGGTACTGCAGGCCCTCCCCCAGTATGACATGGGCTTGGAGCTGGCCTGCCAGGGCCATGTGTGGATTTTTACCCAGCTCTGTCCATCTCCTTCCCTATAAGTGGCACATATCTCACAGTCAAGACAGGTGTTTCGGGTTCCGGTAAGAGCTAGGGTCATGGCACCGGACATGCTTGTTAGCCAATACGAGGCTCAAGTTCATGTCTACATTGGCTCCAGCCTCTAACAGCCAGCACACCGGCCCTTACTAGAATATAAGGGCAACTTTGCCAGCCATAGTGACTCACTCCTGTAATCCCAGCATTTGGGAGGTAGAGGCAGGAGGATGGCTTCAGGCCATGATTTTGAGCAATATAGCCTGGGCAATATAGCAAGACCTTGTCTCTACAAAAAAATTGGAAAAAAATTTTGGGGGGTGGGGGGCACAGAGTCTTCTGTCACCCAGGGTGGGTGGAGTACAGTGGCACCATGATGGCTCACCACAGCCTCAACCTCCTGGGCTCAATTGATCCTCTCACTTCAGCCTCCTGAGTAGCTGGGACTACAGGTGCACTCCACCACACCTGCCTAATTTTTGTAGTTTTTGTACAGATAATGTTTTGCTGTATTACCCAAGCTGGTCTCAAACTCCTGGGCTCAAGCAGTTGTCCTACCATGACATCCCAAAGTGCTGGGATTACAGGCATGAGCCCAGCCCCCCAATTTTTTTTTTTTTGTAAAAAAGAATGTAAGGCCAATTACAAGGTAAATGGCAGAGAAGCTTTCTGAAAGGCACCTTCTGTTGCAATATAGGAACAGCCTATGAATCCAGAGATATTCTCTGCAAATATGCACACTGTGTATGTGCATGTAGGTGATAGCAATTATTAATAGGAAAGACACCGATTTGAATATCTGAATAGGATGTATACTCTGTAATCTGCTTCCTGTTGTCTCACTGACACCTACAGGGACCTAACATGTGATATGTGTCTCTAGCTAGGTCAAGGGGTTTTGGTCCAGGTTTCCCCCTCCCTGGTGAAACGGCAGAAGACCCACTTCCACGACTTGCCATGTGGCGCCTCCCTGATTCTGGGCAACAACGGCTTCATCTGGATCTATCCAACATCTGAGCACAAAGATGAGGATGCAGGGGGCTTCACTGCAAACCTGGAGGTGAGGAAACGCCCTGGCTGTGTTGGAGGGAGAGGCCCTCGCTCCCTGCTGTGTTTTTGTGGCAGGTGTAATTCCTTGGGTTTTGTTTTTGAGTTGGAGACTCACTCTGTCCCCAGACTCTGAAGTGCAGTGGCACGCTCCCGGCCACCGCAGCCTTGACCTGCTGGACTCCGGCAAGCCTTCTGCCTCAGCCTTCTAAGTAGCCAGATCTACAGGCACACGCTACCACGCCCGGCTAATTTTTGATTAATTGTAGAGATGAGGTCTCACCAAGTTGCCCAGGTGGGTCTCAAATCCGTGAGCTCAGGTAGTCCACTTGCCTCGGCCTCCCAAAGTGCTGGGATTACAGGCTGAACCACTGAGCCCAGCCGAATTCCTTGGTTTTTGACTATGTGATTACAGTATTCTGAGATGGCTTGAATTTTCATCCAGGTGTGTTCACGAACACTTGGTTGTCTTCTCTTTCTAAAGAGATCAACTCAGTGACACCTTTTTTGTGTCGGGATCTCATCTGTTGCCCAGGCTGGAGTACAGTGGTGCCATCATGACTCACCACAGCCTTGGTCTCCTGGGCTCAGGTGATCCTCCCACTGGGCTAATGAAAAATTTTTTTTTGTAGAGACGAGGTCTCACTATTTTGCCCAGGCTGGTCTCAAACTCATGGGTTCAAGTGATCCTCCCACCTTGGCCTCCCAAAGTGCTGGGATCACAGGCGTGAGCTGCAGTGCTCAGCCTGCCTCAGTGACTGATTTGACCTTTGCTGGCAGCGATGGCACAGCTGCCGGGTAACAGGCAAAGAGCCGCTGAAGAAGCTATCCTTTTTCATCTCCTTGGAGTTAGTTATTCGGCCGGTTGGGAGTCCTACTGATCTTGTCCGAGTCGTAAATGACTTCTTTTCTGTGATTTCGATGATGGTTCGCTTATTTTGGTCCTGTTTATGTTTCCTTCCCCCTTTGCATCCTCTTGCAGCCCGTCTCCCTTGCTGACCGCGAGGTGATCTCCCGGCTGCGCAACTGCATCGTCTCGCTGGTGACTCAGAGGATAATGCTGTATGACACCAGCATTCTGTACTGCTATGAAGCATCCCTTCCACACCAGGTGCTCTGCCAGGGCTCACCTCTTCCTCGCTGAGCTGCCAGCCTCTCCAGTGTTTCCTCAGGGCCAGCAAGCATGGCTCCCACATTCTTTGCCACGCCTGGAGGACAGCCTCAGTGAGCGTCTAGTAGCTCTTTCCCCAAGATATTTGCAATGTTCTCAGTGTCTGGGGCAATCTAAAGATTCGGTGGCAGTTGGAGGTGCCAGGTGGGACTAATTTATGGCAGCGGCCCTCTGGACTTTATCCTGTCTAGTCCAAATTTCAGCCATCTTTTGTTTTTTTTTTGAGTGATAGGGTCTTAGTCTGTTGCCCAGGCTGGAGTGCAGTGGCACGGTCACAGCTCAGTACAGCCTCGGCCTCCTGGACTCAGGTGATCCTTCCACTTCAGCTTCCCGAGCAGCTGGGACTACAGGCACATGGCACTATGCCCAGTGAATTTTTTGATTTTTGGTAGAGATGAGGTCTTGCTATGTTGCCCAGGCTGGGCTCAAACTCCTGGGCCCAAATGATCCTCCTACTTGAGCCTCCCAAAGTGCTGGGGTTGTAGGCATGAGCCATCGTGCCCAGCCTTCAGCCATCTTTCTGATGGATATTAGAATATCTTTGTTCTTGGCAGCTGTGTTCCAGAGAATCCTGCAGATGGATGAAGCTGGTTGTAGCAGTTCATATCTTGTGATACTTAGTCTCTGATGCATGAAAGGACAGAAGGTTTATTTTAACCATGCTTGGCTTCCACATTTGGATTGGTGTGGTGGGCTGTTTATGTTTGACTCCCTTTCTGAACAGATACCTTTTTGCTTTCTTGTTCAGATCAAAGACATCTTAAAGCCAGAAATAATGGAGGAGATTGTGATAGAAACACGCCAGAGGCTTTTAGAGCAGGAGGGATAAGGAGCTACTCATGAAGGGGACAGGACTGTGTGTACCTCCCTGGAGTGAAGAATCCAATGTTTGGTCCTCACGTGGGGCCCAGTGAAGACCTGAGAAATCATCACCTTGTTTATATCAAAGGCTGCATGGTCACCTCCAGCCCGCAGACCTGCTTTCTCCTGCAAAACCTGGGTGGAAGGTGAACAGTGCTTCTGGCCCTCTGGGTTGCCACCCAAGGCGGTCATTTCGGGTCTAAGTGCACAGTTAGAAAGTGTCCCAGTTGCATAGACTCCAATCCTGGAATAGCCGGAGAATCCTTTGTCTTCCAGCACCAGCATTCACTAGGTACAGCACCCCTTGAGATTGCCCCAGTGGAAAACCTGGTATCCCCAACCCCCAAATGGTCTGTTTTGGCCTCTGTTCCCACTTCCTTTAAAGCACAGTATAGCAGTGAAGGATGTAGTTCTTAAGGCTGGTCTAGCAGTCATAGGGAAGAATAAAGTTAATCAAGCAGCCTTTAGCCTGGTTGAAATCTGATTTCCCATTGCATACTCCTTCCAGCAGCAGATGCAAATGTGTCCACACCAGGCTGCCTTAATCTGTCCTGCTTGGAGGGCAAGCTGAATTATTATCAATCACAGAATGAATGTTCTGGGTCCATGTACTTTAAGTGCTCTGATGAACATGAAGAAACAAAGAACAATGGAGATAGAAAAAGCAAAGGTATTTTTCTCCTATAATCGAAGTAGGGATGCATTAACTTTTTTTTTTTTTTTGAGTCAGGCTCTCACTCTGCCACCAGGCTGGAGTGCAGTGGCACAATCATGGCTCACCGCAGCCTCAGCCTCTTGGGCTCAGGCAGTCCTCCTATATCAACCTCCCAAGTAGCTGGGACTTCAGGTGCACACCACCACTCCTGGCTAATTTTTTTTTTTTTTTTTAGAGATTAGATCTTGCCAAGTTTTCTGGGCTGGTCTTGAACCCCTGGGCTCAGGCAGTCCTCTCACCTCCACCTCCCAAAGTGCTGGGATAACAGGCGTGAGCCACCATATCCGGCCTCAGTGGTAGTAACTTTGAACACTGCATTTGACAGTTTTGAAATACAGGTTCGCTCTTTTTCATTAAGGTGTTTGTTTCTTTATAACATTATTCAGTGGACAACGTTTTTGTTTTGTTAATTTGAGTCGGAGTCTCACTCTCACTCAATCACAGCTCATCACAGCCTCAACCTCCTGGACCCCGACGATCCTTCCGCCTCAGCCTCCTGAGGAGCTGGGACTCCAGGCATGTGCCACGACAACCAACTTCATTTTTGATTTTTTGCAGAGATGAGATCTTGCACTATTGCCCAGGCTAGTCTGAACTCCTGGGCTCAAGCAATCATACCTTGGCCTCCCAAAGTGCTAGGATTATAAGCGTGAGCCACCATGCCCAGCCAGTTGACATTTTTTATCATTTTTTTCTATACTAAGTTGATCACCTGTTTTGAGGAAATTACAGACAATTTAATATTCTGTAGGCTAGACTGCAGCTTTAGATTTGGTCCACATGTCATACTTTTGAGACAGTTTTCCTGGCTGTATGCCTTTTGAGAGAAGGGAATGGGAAGGAATGGGAGTCAGCCCCTGGGTCTCTTGCCCAGGGCTAGAGTGTAGTGTAGAGTGTAGAGTAGCTCACTGCAGCATCAACTTTCTATGCTGAAGCAACCCTGTCTCAGCCTCCCAAGTGGCTGGGTCTGGTTTTGACCAGGGCTATATGTAAGCTTATTTACCCTCCTCACTTGGTCTGTCTCAATCTGTCGGCTTCTGCTGTTCATTCAGTGTGTGCTGAATGGTGATTACAACCTAGTGGAAGTAATATAAAAGCTCAAAAGCGGCTTTTGGTGATTATCTATTTTTAGTGGCCCTACAGAGGGCGCCCTTGTTAAGTAAAACAAAAACAAAAACAAGCTGAATGTTTTACACTGGTACCAAAGCCCTCAAGCAACTGAGTGGGTTGCTTTGCTTTATAAATGTGAGGACAAACTTAGACTGAAGTGAATCTCTTTTCAATGAAAACATAAAGTGATTTACTCAACATTTGGCAATATTAATTTTCTGCCGATTATCAGGCATTTGCCGGGCTTTGGATTCTTGGATTTTGCATTTTTAAGTCCTTAAATGTATCATTCTGCAGTATTATACAGGAACTTTAAAAGTACAGTGCATCTTCTAGAAGAAGTATTACAGTCTGGGCTTGGAGCTCACCGAAAACTAGAAAACTGGAAGTGGGATATGGAGAATTGGGATTAAGCCTTTAGATCAAGTGCAGTTGGCCTCTGCACTGACAGTTGTGAAGTATAGTTGCAATCTTTGTGGCAAACCAAGCAAGATCTAGTTTAAATTAATCCTCATAAAGCTTTCTGAGCTATGATGCCCCTGAATTACAGGTGAACATATCAATTGAGAGAATTAAAGTGACTTGATTAAGCCCCTTTGCAACTATGAATCAGGAATAGATTTCAACTCTAGGAAGGTGTCATAAAATAATCCTCTAGAGGATCGGTTCTACTGATTGTAAAAGGTTATGAATCAAATTTAATTTCCAGCATTGAGACCAATCTTTTATTTGGACTGTTACTCTGCTTACTGTCTGTTCCTCTATGTAGATGCCATGAGGACAAGATGAGTTTTTTTTCCCCTATTGCTGTATCCCAGTACTAAGAACAGTGCTTGGCACCCAGGTGCTCAATCCCTGCTTGTTAAATAAATCGATGGTTCAGAAAAACTCATTAGGAAGAGTTCTGATTTTTTTTTTTTTGAGTTGGAGTCTCACTCTGTTGCCCAGGCTGGAATGCAGTGGCACGCTCACAGCCACCCCAGTGTCTACCTGCTGGGCTCCAGCGAGCCTTCCACCTCAGCCTTCCAAGTAGCTGGAACTACAGGTGTGCGCTACCACACCAAGCTAATTTTTATTTATTTATTTATTGTAGAGACAAGGTCTCGCCAAGTTACCGGGACTGGTCTCGAACCTGCAGGTTCAGGCAATCCACTCGCTTCATCCTCCCAAGGTGCTGGGATTACAGGCTGAGCCACCAAGCCTGGCCGGGAGTTCTGATTTGATTACCTAATTTTTAGCTAAACTAGAGAATGAAGAATGAAGATGTGAAGAAAATTATTAAAGCCTGAATAGGAATAAAGAAGAAAGCATGGCCTCCAAAAAGAAAAATTAGGCTAGTAATCAGGATAAGATATTGGGTAAATTATCAAAGGGAAACAAGGGCATTGAGGTTTGAAGAATGACCCTACCCATCAGGATAGAGGTTATCAGCCAGATTATTTTGTGAGAGTGAACAAAGCTAAACCAGTTAACACCTAGATTTATAAATTCCAGTGCTAAGCCTGGCCACACATTTTCATATGCCTCACATTCAGTGCCTTTAAATGACTTTCCTTCTTGAAGCCAATATAAAAAATAAATGCCATCTCAGTCCAGCAGAAACATTTCTAAAATATTTAATACAAGCCGGGCTCGATGGCTCAGCCTGTAATCCCACGCCTTTGGGAGGCTGAGGTGAGTGGATTGCCTGAGCCCGCGGGTTCGAGACCCGCCTGGGCAGCGAGACCTCATCTCTACAATAAATCAAAAAGTCAGCCGGGCGTGGTAGCACATGCCTGTAATTCCGACTACTTGGAAGGCTGAGGAGGAAGGATCGCCAGAGCCCAGCAGGTCGAGGCTGCGGTGGCTGGGAGCGGCCACTGCACTCCAGTCTGGGCAACCGAGTGAGACTCCAACTCAAAAAAAAAATTTTAATACAATAGCCGAATGTACAACAATCAGTGCAGCTGTGGTTCCTCCTAATATCAGTAACAACTTCTGAAAAATCAGTTATCTCAACTGTTATTTGATACTGAATGGTACAGTGGTCAACAGTTAGTTAACACTGTCAGTACAGTGGGAAAACCATAGGTTTTGGAGCAAGGTCAATCTGAGTTACAATTGACTTTGCCACGTAATAACCAAGTGACCTTGTTTGGGTAAGTCATGTCTCAATCTGTTTCCCCATCTGTATAATAGCAGATAATATTCCATGCCTCATTGGGCTACCGTGAGGATTAAATGAGATGATACAGGTGTCGGAAAGTATTAAACAGTGCTGGGTGTAGAGTAGGCGCTATTATGAGTGGATCCCCCTAGAAATGGGTGTATCCCAGTCAGGGGCACTGCTCTGAGGAGCTGTGGAGAGTGGAGGATAGGGGACCAGGGTGCTTTTTAGTTGGAGAAGACAGGTGTGGGTTTGGCGCGTCTGGGTCATTAGCTAGCTCTGTAGGCCTGCTAAACCCAGCCATCTGGGCATTTTCTCGGTTAACACAGAGGGTGTTTTTATGCGAATTCGTGTTCACTTGTGAAATATTTAATCGTAAGGCTTCATTCCAGCGCAAACGTCTATGATCACGCCTGGCATACCCGCCCAACAAATGCTGCTTCTTTAGTGAGTAAGCCTCCTGATGCCCCAAAGAAACAACTGAATTCGTTAACAATACGTCGATGCTTTCCATCGGCATATTTCTTGCTAGTTCTAATACTTACGCATTTTGGAGGATGTAGGGGTGAAAGGTGCCAGACACCTTGGTTTCCTGGAGCAAGCCAAATTTTCTCCGTTTGAGACTCGAGGACACATTCCAACTCCGGTCCTAGTAAAATCCAATCCGCAGTTTTTTCCTTGCTTCGGCTCTTCCCTGGGCTTACTGCTCGCGCTGTAGAGACGCCCGCCAGCAGAGGAGAGGCCGGCGAGAGTCCACCAACCCCCAGGAGGGCGGGGCCCGCTCAGGGGTCGGGAGCAGGGGGCAAGAAGTCTCCCGGCCGGCCCGCCCTCGCGTGTGCCGTGGGACCACAACTCCCGGCATGCACCGCAGCTACGCCAACAGCGATTGGCCGGGAGCTCTATCCCTACTGCCCGCATCCGCCAATGGGACGGCGGAGAGGGGCCTGACCCCGCTTCTCGGAGACCAATGGTAGTACAGAGGAGGCGGGTGCTTCCTTACCACTCACCTTGCGCTCAAGGAAGCCACATTTAAAAGGTCGTGCCGGGCCGGGCGCTCGCAGGCAGTGAGACCAAAGCCGGAAGGCGCGGCGGCGCCCCGAGAAAGCGGCGCCGGGGGCATCCCGGTACCCGCGAGGCGGGCTCGGGACGACGCCGGGGGCGGGGCCGAGGGCGGGGCCTCGCCTCGTTGTGGAGCGGCTCGTAATCCATCATGGCGGCCGCGGGTGTCGGTGTCTGTGCCTGAGCAGCGCTGGAGCCGGAGCCGGTTCCCGGGTCCTGCGGCTGAGGAGCCCCTCCGTTGGCCACGGGCCCTGCCGGCAGTGGGCGGCTGGGTGCCCCGGCGGAACTCGGGGGATGTGACTGTCTGGTGGCGGTGGTGGTGGCAGCGTCCGGGGCCGGGGGAGGGGGTGTCTCGGGCAGAGACCCCCGGGCTCGGGGCAGCTGAGGCGGCCGGGCCTCCTCCCCCCTGCGCCCGTCGTCCGCCGTCGGGGCCGCGGGAGTCCTGCGTCCCTTACCGCCCCGCCACGGCTCTGGGACACTGGTGGTGGTCTCTGTTTCCCCAGACCCGGGACACCCCGTTTCCTGAGGCGTGGAGGAGCGTCGCCCCGGAGTGAGCCGCCCGTGCCCCGCCCCAGCAGCTGCCTCTTAGCCAGAACCGCCTCTTGCTTCGGATCCTGGCCTCAAGTTTGGCCCCCCATTCAGATCCCCTCCCTGCTGTCAAGTGGCCTCCCCTCTCCCCCAGATTGCTCCCGCGGGCTTCTAATGCCCTGACTCCTTCCAATGTCACCTACGGCCCCCTTAGTCTCAGCTCAGCCAAAAACTTTAATGCAGAGGAAAGGTCTGGATTGGTTTCACAGGCCTTTTAAAAAGCGGACATAAAAGTTGCTGGCAATGCATTCCTTTTCGTCAGAGCCGAGGGCAAACTCTCGCTGAAATCTGGGTGACCCGTGTCCTTTTCCGGAGAGCAGAGTAGAGAAGCGAGAGCGGCAGCTAGTTCGGCAGGAAATTTGCTGGACGATGAAGAAACTAAGATAGGGGGTTGGTGACTTCCACAGGGAAAGTTCTGGAGGCGCGTCCAAAGACCATCAACGTCTCCTTTATGTGTGGGAACCGAAATGACTTTAGTATTATTGACCTTTTTCAGTATCCCCTGTGAATATTTCTGTTTAGGTGTTTTTTCCTGAAAAGAAATTGTTATTCAGCCAGTAAGATATACTTCAAATCAAGAAACTTTTGGGTAGCATTGCAATTACATGACTTCAAATTGATAAACTGCAAAGATTCTTGGAACTCCTGTTTACATGCATCAACCTAAAAAAATGTGCTTCCTTTTGGTATGGAAGATGTCCTTCTGTGATTGACCTCAGTTTCTGACTTGAGATGTGGTGAATGTGAAATCCCACATAGATACCATTTTCCTTCTAAGCTCATTGACTGTTCTGGAAGATCTTGAACCCTCTTCTGGAAAGGGGTGCCTATCGTTACTTTATGGGGCAACAGCCTGGAAAAGTTCTTGGGGACCAAAGAAGGCCGAGTTTGCCTGCCCTGCACTTTATCAAAGGAGCAGGGAAGAAGGAGTCTTCGAGGCATGGAGGTCCACACTGCAATGTGTTTGTGGAACATGGTGAGTGTTTTTCAAGATTTCTGGTCATGTTTTTTCTTTATACATTCAGTTTAGAGCATCAGGGATCTTTTGAACTACAGTACTTGTGCCAGTTCCTTCCAATTCTACTTAACACTTTTGTTACCGTAGTTATCTCTTAGTTTCTGGTGGAACTTTCTTTGTATAAGAAAAAGTTATTTCATGCCTCTGCATGGCTTTATTCAAAATTTGTTTGAGTTGCTTATTTCTTGTCTCACTAGTTCCGATTCGCTGTTGACCTTGGACAAGCCATTTTACTGCTCTGGGGTCTCAGTTTCCCGAGGCAGTAGGACTTAAGGAGTTTCTTAGGATACATACTTCTATGATTTCTGCTCTCTCTGAGGTCTTGGGCTTTTCTACATGTATAGATTCTTTTCTAGTTTGTCTGCAGAGAGCTGTTATCATATTCTCAAAGTGGTTTGTGTTCCCCAAAAGGTTGAGTCATAAATACTGGTTGACACTTAAGATCCTTCACCTTTTCAATCATAAGTAGGACTTGAAAGTACTTTGGAGCTATGTGGGAAAAATTCGGTGGGGCAGCTGCATTGCTTGTGAGCTGAGGATACACAACTTCTAGTTAGTTCCTTCCATAAGGAGTAATCCTTTCCTCATTGATGGAGCGTTCAGCCTTCTCTCTCCCTGTTTAAAATGACATTTGGGGCAGTAAAGGTTGTCTTTGACATTTTTATGAACATATTTGGCATTTGAGTGTTGACAGTACATATTATATCGTTCACTTGTAATAATTCTGTGTGAAGTTAAAGCTAAGGGTCAGCTTAGATTGACATCTGGAACCAATCAATTAGTGTCTTATTTGCACTGTTGCAGCCCGGCATTTTTCAGACTGTGTCCTGTATATTAAAATATCAATTGAACCTGCCCACCCACCCTATAAGCAAATGTATGAAGTGTGCAAATGGCGTGTACTTTGAAATTCAGTCACCAATACCTCTTACAATGGTGACTGCAATAACAAATTAACAAAAGGCCTCTGTTGGATGAACTTGCATTGGGCAGTTGAGGTGATTCTTTCTTTCTTTGTTTTTTTAATACCATTTAAAAAAAGCATTGAGACCAGGTCTCACTACCTTGTCCAGGCTAGTCTAAAACTCTGGTTCAAGTGATCTACCTGCCTCGGTCACCCGAAGTTTTGGGACTACAGGTGTGTGCCACTCTCTGGCCCTTTTTAAAAAAAAATATTTGAGACTATCATTAATCAGCAGAGGTTTCACTTTCTTACAGAAAAATATTCACTTCATCTACATAAATCTGAATACCTGGATTTTACTTTGTTTTGAAACATTAGTTGTATTTTAATATTGGCTTAAGGCAGGCAACTAATGGTAATATGTTATGATATACTTCCCAAATTCAGGATTTAAGCGGTGAATTATTTACATTTTAACTAGTGATGGTCATGCAGGCTTAGAAAGTGAGCCAGGCGAAGTGGTTTATGCTTATAATCCCAGCGCTTTGGGAGGCAGAGGTGAGAGGATTGCCTGAGCTCAGGGGTTCAAGATCAGCCTGGGCAACTTAGCAAGACCTCGTCTCTATAATAAATAAAAAAAATTAAAATTAGCGTAGTGGCACATGCCTATGGTTCCAGCTACCTGGAATGCTGAGGCGGAAGAATCCTGAGCCCAGCAGGTCGAGCCTGCGGTTGGCTGTTAGTCTGCCATTGCACTCTAGTCTGAATGACAGAGTGAGACTCCGACTCAAAAAAAAAAAAAAAAAAGAAAGTGAAAATTGGTATATAGTTTTTGGAGAGTGTTGGTAGAATTTACCAGAATTTGAAATGTGTATGCCAGTGACCCAGTAATCTCACTTCTAGGAAACTAGTATAGAACAGTGTAGTTCCCTAGGGGGGGGTCCCTGTTACCCCTTCAGGAGTTGAGAGGTTAAAACTGTTTTCATGTTAATAAATACTATGATTTTATTTGCCTCTTTTTTTTTTTTTTTTTTTTGCCTCCTTGTTGTTTTTTTTTTTTTTTTTTTTTGAGTTGGGGTCTCACTCTGTCACTCAGTCTGGCCTCCACCTCCTGGGCTCAGGCGGTCCTTCTGCCTTAGCCTCCTGAATAGCTGGGGCTATAGGCTGTTTGCCTCTTTTACTGTGTTGACATTAATGCTAATTGTGCAAAAAAATCAAAGCAGGTGTTTTACCATGAATCAAGACTGTGGCACCTAGCTGTACTATAGCTGATATATTCTTTGTGATGTAAACTCACAGGAAAAATAAAATTTAAAAAAATTTTTTAATTAAAAAATTCCAGTTTTCACTTAAGAATGTCCCTGATGAAACAGCAGCAATGACTAATGTCCTATCTTGGCCCTTTTGTATATGTCTTTTTAATATTATGTGGGACAAACGGGAAGTATACATAAAACACTTCTACTGTGTACACTGAGGTATGATGGTTATATCTAGAAAAACACTTGGGCAGTTGTTTGAGTGGCAAACCAAACTGGCCACTTTTTTCATGAACTATCATTTTTATTTGAAACTGTGAATGACAAACTATGGTTATTCAGACTAAAAACTGTATGAAAGAATCTCTCCTTTCAAGGAAAATAGCAGGTAGTATTTGTTGCCAGTGATAAAATTTTAGCTTTCCAGTGAAAATTAGGATTCTGGAGAACTTGTATCTGCCACTGTGATATAGAGATTTGTGGTAATATTTACAGATGTGATATTTTATCTTCAAAATTTTTTTCTCTTTTTAAAACTTTTTGGGGAGAGTGGAGACAGGGTCTTGCTGTGTTGCCCAGGTTGGTTTGGAACTTCTGGTCTCAAGCAATCCTAACCGCTACAGCCTTCCAAAGTGCTAGATTACAGGTGTGAGCGACCACACCTGGCTAGGTGTGATATGTTAATATCTGTCAAATGTATTATCTGGAAGATGTACATAAATCAGTGAACCCGTATTTTCCAAATGATCAATACATGATATAAAATCATGCACAAGTAAAAGATTCATTCAAATTGCAAAATAGGCAGTAGATTTTAATGTAACAGAATACAATTCATTAGTATGGTTTCAAATTCTACATGGTAACCAACCTTTAAGAAAGTAACGTTAGCCGGGCTTGGTGGCTCAGCCTGTGATCCTGCGCCTTTGGGAGGCTGAAGTGAGTGAATTGCCTGAGCTCGCGGGTTCGAGACCCGCCTGGGCAGCGAGACTTCATCTCTACAATAAATCTAAAAATCAGCCAGATGTGGTAGCGCACGCCTATAATTCCGGCTACTTGGAAGACTGAGGTGGAAGGATCGCCGGAGCCCAGCAGGTCGAGGCTGCGGTGGCTGGGAGCGGCCACTGCACTCCAGTCTGGGCGACAGAGTGAGACTC